GTACACAACTATTTTAAATAAGATTTTTTTTAATGAGCTCTGCAAGCCTTGCTGAAAGCACACACAGACTGTGCCAAACATCTTGGGGCTTAACTGCTCTGCCTGTGGTGGACCAGCTGTCCCTGGTAAACGGATGTTAACAACCAGAGAAATGGTATATCTTGCTGGCAACAGTGATATTTAAGAAATATGTAAACAGCATCTGGTTGTCTTTTTTTCTGTTTCAACGCTTTCAGTAACAAGAAAGAAAAATCTATGTTGAAGAATAGACATAATCTTTTTTTTTTTTTATGGCAGAGGTAATAAAAACTAATCGTTAATGTACTAAATGCACTTTTCTTCCTCTTTTCCAGTTCAGCGCTACAGAACGATGAAAGTAAGTTTCACTAACAGAGTGCTCTACTTGGTATTTTGCAGCGCAGCAAAGTATTAGAAAGCAATCACCAGCACAAATACATATAGCTACCTAAATGTCTAACTGAGGTTAAAAGGTTAGAGCAATTTTTATAATTGTTTCGAGTTTTATCAAAGCTTTCCAAGAACATTAGGTTGGAGAAAAGAATTAGAAACTCAGGAAATTTGTACTCAGTTTTCTAAGAAGCTCAAGGATTTACGATGACCTTTGACCAACACTGACAATTGATTCTGTTGTCCTATCTTTATCCCTTTGCAAAATACGCTTAGCTTTGACCATAGTTTTTAAAGAATCCATAGACTCTTGACTATCCTTGCAGTTGGAAAAAACACAACTAAAAATAGAAAATAAAAATGTCATCACCTTAACTTAAAAATGATTTCATATACAAATATAAGTGAAATTATTTTGACAGCTCACAAGACTGTCCATATAAAAACAACACAGAAGACTAGAGCTAATAAGGATATGTTTAACCACAACTTCGAAAAGCACTTAAAAAAAGAAAAAAGTATGTGTGTGCATAACAACAGTACAAAAGCCATGGTGGGCCTAACTACTGAATGATTAATACCAAAGTATCCTAGTCCTAATGCTCAGTAATAAGATGAAAACATTACAGATGGACAAGGAAGTATGAAAAATTCTTTATCTTCCAGCTTCACTTCAAAAGCAGAGTAAAGGTCTTGATACCTCAGTTATAAATAGCCACACCTACAAATGTGTGGCATTAAACAAAACAGCCTAATAGATTTTATTAGATTTTAATTATTCCACAGAAATATATTCCGATAATTAGACATGATGAGAGTGAACAATTTTCTTCTAATTAAGTTCTTCTATTGTTACTTAGAAAAGGGAATTTTAGAGTTTGGGGGGTTTTTTGTTATTTTTTTACACCTGAAGAAGAGCTTAAAAAGGTACTATTATGTTTGTAGGAGGAAAAATAAAAAATTGTTGGAACCAGACTATTTTTCCTGCAGTCCAGGAAATGCATCAAATTTTTGAAAAGCTAGTGTACACCGGTCCTGGAGATAGGTATGGTTTATCCCATGAAGCTCAGTCACAAGCACAGCAATTTTATCCCTTCATTGAACTTCATGATGTTTGGTAGACTCTTTTGATGCTTCTTGGGGTTTACATAGAGCATACTAGACCATGAATAGGCCTCTTCAACGCCATCTGATCGCTGGGATAAAAGATGGTACACTTCTTTGCAGATTTAGTTTCAGTGATGAACCCTCAGATTTCTGCTTTGAGGTTATCCTGACCTAGATACAAACAGCCACCCTACCAATCCTATCTGAGATACTGTGTCTCAGTGGTTCTGCATCCACCTAGATTTGTTGCAAGGACTCCTATGGATAACCTCTACGCTAGTTAAACAAACAACCTCCTGCACAACCTCCTGCATGCGCGTGCAAACACACACACCCAGAGGGCGAGGTGGACCTCTGACCTTTTGCACTGCACTGCTGAGTTTTGCCTGTTTCAGATTGCTCCAATTACCTCCTTTCAAGAAAAATCTGCTATAGAAGGGGCCTCCTAGGTGGGAGATCTGCCAATCATTGCCATTTGGCGTAGGATCAGCCATTCGATCTCTTTCATTTAGCAGTAAAGATACAGGGCATTGCAACCTAAATCACTCTTCCTGTCCAGTGAACTATTGTAAGGGACAGGACAACTAGCAGCTGTTTTAAGCAGGTGAGTCTGCACTCTTGTTGTGAAATGCTGAGTTACCAGTTTGAGAGAGACTAGCCTTTAACCTGTATCTAGGAGCCTGCACTGTAAATGCACCACACTGGCTGAGGTGCAAGAAAATTTTACGCGTACACGAATGGGGAGTTGAGGACGATGCCCAAATTAACTCTTTCCTGAAGACATACCTATAGGAAAGACCAAGTGTCCCTTGCAACTTCTCTCTTTTGACCAATAGCTATCATTTTACAGTCCTGTTTGATACGTGTTTTCATGAAAGGAAGGGTGGTACCCGCACTGAGGCAGTCAAGGTACATGTTAACTGACCTCGAAAAAAAGGAGGAACTGGAAGGCCTTTGCCTATGTGCTGCTGATTTCATTTGTACAGTTATGCAGGCCAGTACAAAAAACCTGCTTATGGATGGGAGGAGGTTAGGAGGTATGTAGGAAGACAGATGCCCTCTTAAGAAGTACACAAGAAAGTGGAAGAGTGAATATCCTTTTCATCATTTCGGTGACTCTCTTGAAGCCAATGATACAGGAAAACTATGCTTATGACTCTAGGAATTAAGAGAAGTCAGACTCTGACTAGATAAATACATTAGTGCATATACAATGATTACAACTGAAAAGCTACCCGAGGACTTTTCTGATCATTCTTGGGATAACAGATTTCACTATCACCAGCCAAACAATTCATTTCATGTCCTACAAGACATACTGAAACGGAAGAGCATTCCCCTCGCTTTTTGGAGCTTGATGGGGATCTAGCTGCTCTGTATGTTGTTTGCATATCTACCATCTCCATTTCTAATGCCGCAGACTTCAGACACCTTGCTATGATCAAATACAATCTGTCAGCCATTCAGAAAACTAAACTAAACTTTCATTCTCTAAAAAATATCTCTATGCCCCAAAGAAGACAAGCCTATTTATGAAAAATTGAATGTGCTATGCAAAATAAAGGGAAGAAGGTTGGAAGAGAGATTATGTATCTGAGTAACTTCAATGAACCTGTTCTTCCTATCATGGGTAGACAATTAGGAATTCCCAGTGTCTTGTCAGCTGCTCAGACATCTACATCTCACCCTGTTTCTTATAACACTTTGTTAGAACTCCCACAAATTTTTAGAGATAAAATACTTTAAGATTACTTAAAGGAATCCGAAAAGGGGTCCTACGGGCTAGAAAGAAACTGAACAAAGTGAGGCCAATTTAACAAGAAGACATGTCTTGCTTCCCTGTTCAGTGTATAAATCCAATAAGCTTATTCATAAATAACCTCTCCCACTTTGTATTCTGAGCTAAAAGTCTGCTAAAGCTTAGGCCTCCAATAGTCATTCGATGCCTTAATTTAAATAAATGAGAATTGACTTGGTGTTGTGACATGTCAATAAATAGTCCTAATAACCTTTACTATTAAAGTTTAGGAAGCCAATATTTAGTCCTGGGCACTACAATTCTGCTAAGTAAATCCTGTAAATGAAGTCTTACCTCTTTCTTTCCTTTGGGATTTTGCCACAAAAAAAGGAAAGAAAGTACAGCTTCATGAATGTAGGTGAATAGTTCAAGACTGAACACATCAATTCAGGAAAATGTCAACATATCCATTTCAAATTTGATTGAAAGACGTATAAGCAGATCCTAAGCCTAAGCAAATGCATTTATGGTTGATATTCTTTACTCTTGTTTATGGGAAAAGGAGAAAGTTGGGCTCGAAATGGAAACTTCATATTACCCTTAACTACAGAGAGGTTAATAATTACTACATAGCTGACTACTAGGACAATCTATCAAAGTAATTCACTAAATAATGCCTACACAATTTTGAAAGAGACACATACAACAACTTTATAAAACCTGGGTATATGTGAACTGAGGGATATAATATTACTCTTTCGCTGCACAATTGTCTTTTATTCTATCAGCAAGACTCATTTTCTTCACCCATATACTGTCAGCAACCAGTCAGCTGCTGTCAATTGATAGCATGCAAGCACAACTTAATACAATATAATTATACCAGGTCTGGGATACAATCAGAATAACAAGCTATTATTTTCAACAGAAGTTTACTTCCAGGAATTCAACTTTTCTTCCTAAAGATCTCTCAACAGTTTCATTCACAGTTTTTGACCTCCTATAAGAACTCTGCCTATGTATTTTTTCTAAATTCTTTCCCCTCTTGCAAAATGTACACCAATTAATAAAAATACCTAAAAGAAATAACATTATGTTATTATTTTTGACGTTTCACCTCAGTTTCTTCTCATAATCAATGGATAAATGATGTCAGGTAAGTCTTCACAACAATGGTAGCTGTCATTCTCAGACAACTGGCTTTTAATCTACGCATTTGCAAGTAATGGTGTTCTAAAATGCACGTGCCCAAATACCAGGCAGTAAGATGGATTACAGAATGTAAAATTGCAATAAATGAGAATATAAGAACAGATGCATCATAAGTAGTTTTACTCTGATTTAGAAAATAAATACCAAAGGTTCTTTTCCACAAGAACATTTTGTTCCTTTCAAAATCTTGTATTCATTCACCTCTCAGCTACAGATTAAAGGCACAGACCTATGCATTTAGGCCACTAACTGGAGCACTTCAGCTTGTATTTAGAAATTAAGTAGTCATATTTGCATGTACAATTAAGGTACAAAAATGAAAGTTTTGATCACACTAGGAAAAAAACAAAACAAAACAAAACACCCACCTGACAAGGTAGCTCGTTTTCTAACATGATACTGTTGTAAACTCTACTGATGTAGAGTTAAAAAAATAAAAATAAAAAAAAACAGAAGAGGAGAAAATCTCTGGGAAAGTGACAGGTACTTGGAAGCACTGAGAGCGTGCATCTCTGACATATGTCATTGTACTTACCTAATATCTGTGCATGTTACACATGTGATACAGCGACTGTTTGTTGTAATGAGGTTCAAAGCCACAGATGTTTCACTGGCAGAGGTTGGGTGTGCTCCACATTTAAAGTAAAACTCCTGAAATATTGAAGGAGAGATAAAGAGAAGGTTACATAGCTGCAGCTCATGTCCTCCCGTTATCTTAGTCTAACTGACGTTTGAAACTACTAACAAATCACCACTGCCAACAGGAAGGGAGGACAATCGCCAGGAAAGATTTAGAAAGAATTCCTTGCAAAAATGCCTGGTGAAGAACATATTTTGTTCAGTGACTTTCCTAATGAAGCAAATATCTACCGGCGCACTGTTTTGATATCAGTCTAATACACTAATGTAATTGGGTGATACACTGTGTGAGTTTCTGGATTTTTAGGAAAGAATATCACTTGACTCCATCTTAGTATAATCATCAAAAAGCAGAATACTACGCACTGTAACTATGCATTAGTATTTCCACATTTTTTTTTTTACAGATGTTATGAACCATTTCAGAAAATGCACTATATGTGCCTTGCATAAAATTGACCATTTTCTGAACTCCTGAATGCAACATTTTAGCTCTAAAAAAGTAAAGTCTGGCCTTGCCTTTGTGATATTGGCACTCTCTACATTGTGATCTCACTGTCATATTAAAAGGAAGCTCTGTCTCTCTTTAGACATGTTACATTTGCAATTCTATATCATACTGCATTTGAGTTAACTTTCTTTAGTCCATACCAATCTACGTAGCCTCTTACACTGCTTTCTACAGCATAATACTTACAAAACTGTGTGCTTTGTTCTCTTTTACATTGTTCCCTAGGGAAAGTCATATTTATCGCGATAAGCTTCGGTAAGGTTTTGTTAGGAGAGATTAAGTGTCCAAACCACTGTGTGCATATGTAAATAAACGCTGATTGCAGAAATTTGCTTTGCAGTAGGAGACATGGACAACAGTTTGCAGTATTTGTTCCTCTGAGAGCTTTTTTTCCACAGTCTCAAATTTGGTTTGTAATAGAAAAATTAAGACTGGTATAAATGAGGTACGAATAGGAAGGCATGCTTGTAAAAGCATCAGAAGAAACGTCAAGAAGGCCTGAAAGAATGACGGGTGTTGGCAGCATCTAGATCACGAAAGATTCAAGACATCCACACTGGGAAATTGGTTCGCTTAAAACAAAAGACAAACGGCAGCTAGAGACAAGGGCAGTGAGCGCAACAGCACTGTTACCTAATGGCTCACAGAGGCAGGATAGGATGAAGGGGAGAGAGGCAAGGGGAAATCACCGCCAACTTAAAGGGTATGAAAGGCACATCCAGAAACCAGCACTTAAGAACAACCTAAAAGCTGTGAAAAAAGTCTTGCTAACTGGTATTTCCTAATCCTCCTTGACGCCCCAAGTATATAGCTAGACTATCTGGGCACATCTTGGTGCTTAGTAGCATGCCAACAAGAGAATGAATGTGACTGAGTGAAATTAGTTTTGCTAAATAGAAAAATCACCTTTCCCTCCTACACGGCCTTGCATTAAGATTTGTTACATTATTGTGCAACATCAGTGCTGAAAAAGCTCTCACTTTCTCACTGCCTTGAACCTTACAGTAGGGAGTTCCTCTATGTCTGAGAAGCAGGGTTCTCAATTCCTGTTTTCTCTCAGAGATGATCTTTTAGATCCATTGTGTATTTCTACACGAGGCAAATGCAGTAACACTTCTGTCATGGAATCTGGTGACTGGCATACCAGAAACATTAATACAACCCTACTCCTAGGTGAGTAAATTCTGCTTCTCAGAGAAGCATTCATATATGCAATAGATTGAACGTTAATAAAATATTCAGACTCCACTATAAGCTGAGGGCTCATTGTAACATTTTTTAAGGGCATCTAAGGGGTAAGAGGATAGCTTATGAGATAACTTTACTTTAAAATTCAAATAATTGCTTGCCAAATTTGTTGAAATAATCATCTGCATATAGTAATACATAGTCAACATTTCTTATGACTAAATCATCACTCTGTCCAGTTCCATAATATCAGATACTAATCCAAAGCAGGAAAATATACTTAAAGTCATCCTAATAAGAGATTTTACATTCCTAATGCTTTTGCCTCACTCTGGACACAATAACAGCTTATTTTGAAGCATTTCAGCCGTCCTGAATGGATCAGTGGAGCTGCACTTTCAACTGGAGTACATAGAACACTTGCACAATCTGTAGCTGTAATCTATTTTCAACCTTTAAAAATGTACCTATTACTCTTTTAAAATCTGTATTATTTGCTAACAGATTTTGGAGCTTGGGTTTTTTTTAGCCCTTTAATTTAACCCTATTTTTGTTTGAATGATAGGATAAGAAGGATTTATTTTAATGCAGAAGTCCTGAAAATTTTGTCTTGTTCCAGTACATTTCTTGCAAACAACTAAGAGAATATTGACAACTCACTATTCTAAAACCGACAAACTATGGGCAAGGAAATATAAAACAGAAAGGTAGTTTTTAATAAAATGACTTACCTGCTATAGTAAAACTTTCTTTGGGTCACAAGCAAAAAGAAACATTGAACAATAAAGGAAGTAAGCTTTAAAACACTTGAAACAGCTTTAGACTTGTAGTTTAACACGTAGTGGAGAGAGACAGAGCTAATATTCCCCAACTTTTCTATGATGAAACAAGACCCAGCAAAACTACTACGAATCAATATTAGAAAGGAGCAAACATAAAACAGAGCCCTCAGTTTAAAAGTATAGTCCTCTAATATTTAAAAGTGCAACAGTAAGAACAATGCTGGCAAAGAGAGATGTAGTAATATTAATATTGGCTGTAAATTTCTAGTCACGAAAATTATTTCATGATCATGGATGGGAAATGAAGGTACACATTTATTATTACAGCTTTTAAGATGTATGGAATATTGCCCATGAGCCAGAACAAAAATAGGGAGTCTTGGGATACCTTTCCAAATGGCACTTTCTGTCACTTTAGGAAAATTACTTCTCTGTATCTCCATTTATTAGCCTGAATAGTGCTTTAAGAAATTTCCCATACTAATTACATTTGCAATGAGCTTTAGGGCTGTTGAATGACTTCAAATAACAAAAGAAAATACTGCTAGCCTCAGAAACTATGTGGTGAAACACTCTCTTCTTGAATAAACTAGAATTAAAAAAATAATAATAATACATTCAAACTGAAGAGAGGGCTGGTTAAAAATTAGAGAAAATGTTGTCCTAGATTATGTGCCAAGGATTTATTTAGAGGAAACTTTCAAGATTAGTTTAAACAGTAGCAAAAAAAAAAAGTAATTTTTGATGAATGTGTTGAGAACAGTAATGTAATAAAACTAATCCATTTACAAAATGCTCATGCTTGCAAAAACAAAAGATATTAACCTATATAATGTACAGTACTATAAAACTAACAGGACAGTGTACTTTTGTGTGTCTGAGATATCAGTGCTGTGATGGGAGTTCAGAGAGACTAGAGCAAGAGATTAGTATAGAAATACTGAAAAGCACAGTATGTTGGGTGCTAGATAGTTCTGGCATAGTGTGGACGACATTTCCATATGTTTTTATAATAGTAATACATACTCTGGTTGTTTGCAGTATTATAAAAGTCACGAACTCAATTACCTTTCCAGTTGCAGCCAATTTATGCCTGGCTTTATACATTGCATAAACAATCTACAAGGATTTGCTTGTTATATACGATACAGTTATAAGATCATAATTTAAATATCCAATTTGACACTTAAATTTTCTTAAATATATGTCTTCACAGATAATGAAATATTTTCTCAGTAAGGTGACTTCTGCTGCTTACTGATTCTGGACAACTCCCAAGGGCCAGAAGCACCCTGCTGGTTTTGGACTGGGCTCGCAGAAGATTTCTATCAGTTTTTCCAGATTTAACATGCTTCTCATGCAAGCATAACATCTTTATACCAGGACACATATGTAGTTATAAAGAAAGATAACCCATAATTCTCCATCAGTACAAGCTGTTTCCCAACTGATTCCAGCAATGAAATTGCTGACGGTAAAATAACAAGTGGAGAGAGTTCAGCCACTTCTCATTGTCCAGCCTGGCATGTTAGATATGCAAATATAGCTATTCTTTTATTTGCAATTACATCACCATCCTTCACCCAGTGTATCATAGCCTAAAGTGGGTAAACTTACTATACTGTTTAACATAAATCATTGTGTATTGTAAGGTAAACCTCCAAATAGATGTAGAGACCTTGCAGCCAGTTAATTTAGGACTAATTCTCTAATTTTACCAGACTATCACACTCGTGCAAGCAGTGATTACTTCCTATGGCAAACATCAAAACTTCTTCCTATTTTTAATTTACAACATACTACATGAGGCACCACTTTCAAAATTTTAACCTTATGATAACCAAAATTTACAGAATAACATGGAAAGGAATGGGGAAATACTCAGAGTCTACATCATTATCTGACCACTTCTTAAATATCTTAAAATAGTAGAAACCAGGGTTCTCATTTTGGTAATCAGGAAATTCTGACAAATGGATTTTTTTTTGTTAAGTATTTCTGTTCAGTGGGTAGGAATGTGAAGATATTACTGAGAAAGCTGAAAGAAACATAGGGCTTTTCTTAGTTCTGAAAGTGGGCAGTCTTATGGTCACTCTTCTATTTCAGTGACTACCTTTAGCTTAGCTTTTTGCCTAAAGGCACAAGTCCCATGAAATTGTGAGCATTCTCTTTAACACTACAAATGCCATCCTTTTGGCAGTGTATCTGATAGATAGCTATTCAGAGAAAGGAGTAGACATTGCTTTTATGTTCTTTTCCATATTCTTCACTCCTTTTACTGCTTCTGTGTCATGTAATATCAAAAAAAGTGCAAGCTAGGGCAGGGAGAAAAGGTTCACAGATACATGGTCACTGTTGATTACTTTTCATGAAACTCTTCTCTAAGAAGAAAGTGTGAAAATTTATTATTAAAAAAAAAATTTTCTCAAAAAAAAAAATCTCATTTGAGATTTTACGTGAAAGTATCTCTCAGGCCAAGCAGATGTTTGCATGCCCCTAATTGTTGAGGATGATGAGCAAACTCTGTCTTC